CAGCAGTAATCGCCACACTATGGATCGCTCTAAAATGTAAACACAAATACAAATACAATACCTACAAATACAGCGGCGCTACTAACCGGCGTTAGCCATTGAGAGGATGCCGGGGCCGGTGTGCTTCAGGATGAAGTTCTCGTCCTCGAACTTGTTGCCGTAGATGGATTTGCCTCCGGTTCCGTTGTGTTTGGTGAAGTCACCGCCCTGGAGGAGCCAGATGGAGTGCGTCACGAGGGAGAGGGTGTGCTAGAGCTAGCGGGATAGGATGTCGGAGGCGGGAGGCTAGCTGCAGATTGCGATATACAAGAATTCATGCCTTGTGCAATTTGAAGGACTGTAAAGGCTGAAACAGACTCTTTCCGCGTTCAGGAACTCGCATGCGAGAGCCTATTCAATCAAATACATTATAATTCTTCACGCATCAATCGCTTGCGGGAGGTGCGTGCGATTGATGCGAGTGTGCTTCCATGTATTTGAATAGATAGCCTCTCGCTCTCGCATGCGATTTCCTGACTGCGAAAAGAGTCTGTTTCAGGCATTAAGCTTCAAATGCAGTGAACCGATAGTTATCAACATTCAGATTACAAAGCCAAATGACAATGCTGCATACCTAGCAGAACTAAGCAGGCATAAGTGGGGCCTCGCCAGGTAGCTACATGACCCATAAATACATTACTCACATGGACTGCCATTAAAACCTGCAGATAGCAGCTCACAATTACAGGTTGATACCATCACATTGAGTCACCTTTCAAAAGGCTACAGTGATAAGCCTAGTCAAACGGAGAACAGTGATTCATTGGCATGTGGTTATCTGACAACCCACTCTAACCATAGGTAGCCTGGCAATGACTCATTGGAGTCCGATACCCAGTAAAGGCACAGATGTCCATCACCAAGACCAGGACATGGGCATTGGGCACCCTACACATCAAGTTATGGATGACATTGAAACCAACTGGTGATAGGAATTCCTCACCAAATACATTCCTTTAACTCCGTGGGAAATGATGAACCTAACAGAGACAGCATCCGGCTAGACGAGACACCAAACACTGATACGCATAGGCACGAGCCGAGCAACGACAAGAGATGACGATGAAACTTTGGGAAGACATGAGAGATGACAATAACACTTAGGCATCAGGGAAAGCTATGAGAGAGAAATGGCACGTGATCAAGTCACAATTATGATGACACTTGACATGCGATGCTTCCACCAACCACTTCCCTAAAACCAATTAACACTCTCAATGTGACATATGACCACCGATGCATCACACTACCATAATATTACTCTTGACACCTAAGAATGACAGCAAACTATTTCCAGACACCAGCTGACACTCACATGACATCCCCCCACCGGACGACACATCCTAACACGGACATGACACTCCTCAGATTTTGACACTGACTTGACACACTCTGACACGTCCTGACACACTCTGACACTAACCTGACACATGAAGTCGGGAATGACGTCGAACGCCTACCACACACCTGACACTGACATGTTCCGACAATGACCTGACACACCTGAGATTCTGACACTGACCTGACACTCTGAGACGTCCTGACACACTGACATGTCCTGACACTAACCTGACACACTCTGACATGTCCTGACACTAACCTGACACATCAGACACTACCCTGACACACTTTGACACGTCCTGACACACTGCCACACTCTGACGACACTAACCTGACACATGAAGTTGGGGATGACACGGTGGAAGCCGCAGCCCTGGAATCCGAAACCCTTCTCTCCGGTGCATAGGGCACGGAAGTTCTCAGCCGTCTTCGGCACAACGTCGGACCTCAGCTGGAACAAACGCACGAGATCAATGGTAAATACGAGCTGAAAACAAAAAACGGATGAGATGGATGTAACATAAACAAGCTGAAAAAAGGCTGAAGATGAGCTGAAAAACTAAAACGTAACGAGTAAAAAAGGGCTGTAAAAAACACAATAGTTGGTAAAGGAAGCTGAAGAAGCGAAGAAGGCATGGTAGGCGTTGCAAAGAAGCTGTCGAACGCGCGTGATAGTCGTTATAACGAGCTGTAAAACGCATACAAAATAAAAACAATACACAATGAAAATGACCTGAAAAGCACAATGTGGACGATAAACTTGAGCCGTAGGCCAAAAGAGATAGGGGATAATTACGAGCTGTAAAACGCACGAGCTAGGCGCCAAGATGTGTTATTTTCATCTGATTTATCTGATTCATCTGACGCTCCTTGACTTAATTAAAGGAGGTGCTGTCTGTCAATATTTCTTGCCGTGCATGGTGGTGCTGCAAGATTCCCGCTAATGAGGGCAACAGTGCAACACTTTCCCGCAGAGTCGTTCACTTTCCGTACGTGACGGTCGCCGACAAGCCGTGGTGAATTCGTCTCTATCCGACCACTCGACCGGATCGATGTTGAGAAAATCATGACCTGCCCCGAGGGAGGTGCCGAGACCGACAGAGCTGGTCATCGCAAACGACGCCAGCGAGCGCTGCCCCACTGCGTCGAGGGCGACGTCGGCGCGGTAAAACGGGCTCTTCTCCCTCACCCGCTACAGCATGCAGGTGGTAACCGCCCGCTTCTCCTCGAACGCCATCTCATCGTCGGTGAGGGAGAGGCCGATGAGCTTCTTGGAGCGATACCACAGGCATCGGGCCATCACCTTGTGCTATTCACGTTGTGACGAAGGTCTGATTTTTTACATAAATCTAGCTCAAATGTTTGAATTGATGGATTGGCAGAGCCGGGGCCCACGCTAAGCAGAGCTTGTTGCGTAGACCCAGACCCCTACCGTCCGGTCGCGCAATTCCAGGTAGCGGGAGAATGACCTAGATAGATGCCAAATTTAATGTGCCTTTCAAAGTCGGACACGGCCTGTCCCACTCAACTGACTTCAACTGACGCTGGCTGCTCTCACCAACCGCAGACCATCCCAGTCAGGAGTTACATACATATTGAGCTCCGGAGCGACTCCAACCCGGCCTCTCACTTCCACTCAGGAGTCAGACGCTCTACCAACTGAGCTATGGGACAGGCTTAGTGACATAGGTAAATGACATGTTACATGTGTTTTCTCAAAAGTTTTTGTCATAGAACATCAGAAGAGTATAATCTGTCACTTAAGGTGAATTTGAGAGGGTTAAGCTGAGGTCAATGTCAACTCTCGACAGGTTAGGTCAAAAATGATAAATTTTAATAAGGTGCTATTTCAAGAAAAAGGGTCTTCAGAAATACAATAGTGCCTTTGGTTTCCAGGGCGATGCCTATAGCTACGAAAGGTATTTGAAGTAGCTGCACCATCATTAGGCACAATTGGTACTGAGAGGTAAAATATCAAATAAAGTGGTTAGGTTTTACATACCTATCATGTTGAAAATTTGCAGTGCTCGATTTTTCATACCTGTCATTTTATATGGATTTTTGAAAATTTGTTTGATGGTTTCCTAAGCCAGTTTTTTAACAAAACATGTGTTGCAAGCTGCAATGCCACAAAGTTGATCAACCCAAATTTCTTAATAAATGCAAACCAAACTTCTACAGCCAGAGTAAATTTATTATAGCTAGAAAAAGTTCAAGCATACCTGACCTCATAATGAATTGATTGATGGAAGTTTGAAATGAAAATTGAGAATATTTTGAGCACAGGTGCTCAGCAGACACAAAAAAAAAAGAAATTACACCTGTTGGCCAGAAACAACAGAAAACAAAGATATAGAAAGGAAAAATACGCCAAGTGCAGCACACCTAATCAAGTTGCAGCCTAAAAGGAGATATATTCATAGTTCAAATAATGGCAAAAGTATGCACATATAAACATGTCATAAATCATACATCACAATACTTCCATGCCCGCACCACAGATTACACATTACACATCATACAAGTATGATAGCGGCTGAGCGGTTGTCATGTGTTTTATTCAACAGTGGTTTTCCAAGATTTTATTCATCTCAGTAGGCGGAACTATGGTCAAGCGTACCCATTTTCGGGAACGCATTTTCGTTCCCATGTTTGGGAACGATAAACCCAAATATGGGAACGCCATGTAGGCATTATTTAAAACAAGAAAAAGAACCGTTAAATGACGTCCAAAAAATATAAAACGATCGTGAACCGCCTGATATTTGTCTCAATATTGTTGGGAAAGAGTTTGATATTGTAAGGCCCATCGTAGTTTCAAATCGTTCCCCTAATTCTAAAGCAGTCCTTCATCCGGGCCGCGAGCCCAAATTTGGGAACGCTCTCGTAAACTGGCGCTGCAAGCGTTCCTTATTATGGGAACGGCGAACCCAAAATTGGGAACGATTTCACCGACGCCTTTCAGGGGCTCTTTTCATTAACAAGCATCACGTCCAACGCCGCAAATTATTGTTAACGCAACAATCATCAGATGACCTTTCCGGCAAGACCGTCGCATGTTTCGCCCGGTCTTCTGCGCTTTTATTCCCGTCGATCTCGCAGCGGGCACGCCCCCCTCTGCAGGATTACGTAATTCACAACGCTCAGCGATGTTCAACAAGGTCTTCTATACCTATATCCACCGTCCGTGCCGAGGGCGGAGACATGTCAAGCACCTGTCTGTTTATTACCGATAGTTGACGAGTACAAGGAAGTATCCAAAAATGGGAACGCTGAATATGTTACACCCTCAAAACACCTAGTCCCTATGATAATCTAGTTTTTTCCTTTCTTAATGAGTGTAAGTGGCAAAAGGCCTGGTAGGATGGGCACGAGGAATGATCGAAATCAGCACATAAATTATAAATAAGCCACACAGAGCGACCTATATAAGAGAAATTCCCCCAAAACAATCATGCTTAGAAACACGGAAGACAAAAACCACGCTCATGACGCTCCTTATAAAACAACGCTAAACAGCTAGCATCCAAATAAAATGTCTTTCCGGGCTGATAAAATACAGCTGAATAATTTTCGACCACTTAAACTGAGTTTACAACAGTATTACGGTAATATCACGCACGTTCTACGCGGTCATCCGCCTCGACACCAAATGTCAACAATATTACCTCGGGACTGTCCGCGTGTTCGCTTGCATATGTCAGCATCTGGTGTCGCTAGTATGAAACTTCATAACCAGGCGAAGATTATCATACTTGACCTCAAAATGTAAAAAACGCTTCATTTTCCTTAAAATTGCATGTTAAATGTACTGTAACCATGTTTTCACCATTCAGTCATTTCAAAAAATCATTAAAAATATCATTCGACGGTCAATTTCCTTGTTCAACGGTCAGATTAAAAATAATTTTATAGAGAATTAGTAGATACTTAAATTAGCGTGCACTTTTTGAGACGTGATGCACTAATGAGTTTTAGTGGGCGAACGGCCGAAAAATTACCTTCCGTTCTCATAAATGGGAACGCCCATTCCCATATTTGGGAACTCCGTTCCCAAAAATGGGAACGTTCCTATATTTGGGTACTCATGACCATAGTTCCACCTACTGATCTGTGATATTCAGAAAAGCTATATAAAAATGGTAAAATATGAAACAGATTGAATGGTGTTCAGGTATCCAACTAACTTATTGCACTGTGGAGGCCAGGAAAAGGGCCAGGTGAGTTGACCAGGTGAGGAGGGGGATATTTAACACCCGTCAATGGAGAGTTGATGGAGCAGCCTTCAACTATCTAATCCAGGCTGTCCAGTGGCTGAATTGGTAGTATTGGACTTCCAGTGGTCAGAGCCCTGCACTCCAGTAGCTCCTGCACTTTATATTTCACTTGACGGGGATGGCCAGCAGTTTGTGGGAGCAGCCGCAGCGGTCAGTTGAGTCAGACAGGCAGTATCTGGCTTTGATGGGCGTACTAAGTCCAGCTTATTTACCTGTCATTGTGCTTTGACAGTAGGTATGCGTTGAGGTCTACACATCACGATAGACGACGTTGCCAGATAGACCAGATGCCAGATAGTGCTTGACGTCAGATAGACGCAGCCGCCGGCCAGCTCGACGTGTCTTGGACTTGACGCGTCTAGCTGGATGCAAAATTTAGACTTACTCGTCTGGCTTGACGCAAAATGGAAGTCTCAACCTTTATCGTATTATCATGATTGCTAAAAAACAAAACCACAATACTTTGTTTATACTTAATTATGATTTTTCATTATTGTTATTAGCAAATTGTTAGTTAAAAAAGTGTCAGAAATGTTTTCGTCTAATTTGTTCGTAAGATCGACCACGTGGGCGGCACCCGGCGCAGTCTATTTTTAGCAGCTCTTACCTCCATTACTATGCGGCCCAGGGGCTTGTTGTCGGCCGAAACATCGAAAAAGACTTTGGGAAGAGCCATTTTGCAATAGAACTGACTTGCAGTGCAATTAATAACACAAGGTTTTAGCAGTGAAACCCCGGCGGAACCGAACCGCACCGGCAAAGCGCGCAAGAAGACCGAAGGCAGCATCGTGAATGGCGACGGCGGCTTATGAGATAACACGATTTTTTATTTTTATTCATAATATCCGGCCTAACTAGTGTGAAATTTAGGCATATATTTTATCGTAATAAATATTTTTGGTACTTCATACTTGACTAGATCAGCATTTTTCAAATGAATATTTATAATTTCCTACAGGTACTATATGTTTTCGTACAAATGAAAACTATAATAAAATATTGCTTTTCATTCATTTTAAAAGTTATTTACAGCGAAAAAACTTCAATGCACCATTTTTGTGCTGTGTATTTTCAAAAAATTGCAAGATTTCTGTTATAAGTAAAAGGGTTTGATTTAGAGTGGCTACTTTTGCCGCAAAAACACTGCGAATATAGAGCCGCTGCTTATCCTCAAACAAACCCGGTTTAGCCCACAATCATCTCATGCGAAGACGTGGGCAGGTCGCAGGATTCCTAATTTCCTATAGATAGTTTTTGGGCGACAGGGCTCATGCCTAATTCATTCGAGTCTTCCGGCTTGAAGCACCCAAATCTGCAAAGCCCCATTTCTTATCTCGAAATGAAAACCAAAGCATAAAACCGTGATGACTGAGAGATAGGCGACAGCCGTCATGTGAGCATGGTCATTTGTTCATGCAATACCAAATATTTTCATGTTAGCCAGTGGCGTATCCAGGGGGGAGGCCAAGAGGCCATGGCCTCCCCCTTTGGCATCAAACATGCAAGTGGGCCCTTTGGGTCACTTGAGTGCAGTGACGTACCCAAGGGGGCCATGGGGGCCCTGAGGGGCGCCCTGATTACCTGAGGGTCCCCCTGGTCACCTGAGGGGTCCCTGGTTATCTGAGAGGCGCCTGGTTACCTGAGTGGCCCCTGGTTATCTGAGGGGCCCATGGTTATCTGAGGGGCCCCTTGTTATCTGACGGGCCCCTGGTTATCTGAGGGGCCCCTGGCTATCCTTGGTTACCTGATTGGTCCCTGGTTATCTGAAGGACTCCTGGTTACCCGAGGGGCCCCTGGCTACGGGGCACGGGGGCCCTGGTTATCTGAGGGGCTCATGGTTACCTGAGGGGCCCCTGGTTTCCTGGGGGGCCGCTGCTTACCTGAGGGGCCCCTGATTACCTAAGGGGCCCGTGATTGCCTGAGAGCCCCTGATTATCTGAGAGGCCCTGGTTACCAGTGGGGCCTCTTGGTATAGGAGGGGCCCCTGGTTATCTGAAGGGGCCCCTGGTTACCTGAGGGCCCCTAGTTATCTAAGGGGCCCCTAGCTACCTGAGGGGCCCCTGATCCCCTGGGTGACCCCTGGCCAGTGATCTGAAGAAACCCTGGTCACCTGAAGGGCCCATGTTTACCCGGGGAGTACCTAGTAATATGAAGGGCCGCTGCAGTCACATAAAGGCCCTTAGTTAACCGTGGAGCCCCTGGTATAACCGTCCTCTGGTTATCAGAGGGTCCCCTGGTCACCTGGTGGGCCCCTGGTCAATTGAAAGACCCCTGGTCAATTGAAAGGCCCTGGTCACCTGAGAGGACCCTGATTACCTGAACGGCCCGTGATCACTCGGATTCAATGGTATGGCCAGGAGCCAGGGGGCACGTGTCCGTTATAGGGCTTAGGGTCCCCTCGAGCCCGAGAGGCCCTGCGGTGTCAATTGGCGGCAGAGGGCCCGCGCTGACAACGCTATAACTGGAAAGGAGACCACAGGACCTGTGAGAACACCCCATGGGCTCTTGTGTAGCCACACTTATCTCCAAAAGGGCCTCACGCCAGGTTCTGAGGGACCTTGCCGGCCCTGAGGGCTCTTGCCGGCCAATAAGGGATCAGCTGTAAGGGCCCCATACCCGTTTGCTATGGCCCCACGGCCCACACCGGTGTTTCTGAGGGCCCTCACAACGGCGCCTGCGAGGGCCTCCACTGCCACCTCTAAGGGCCCCACACCAGTGCCATACTACTTCGGCTGCTTCGGCGGCTCCGAGAGCCCCCACACCGGCGCCTCCGAGGGCCCTATGCAACGCATCTGACGGTCACTTACAAGTGACTCTGAGGGCCTCTTACCGACCTCTGAGGGTCCCTTGCCGGCCTATGAAGGGCCACCAGTAACTTTCAGGGCCCCACACACCCCTAAGTGATGGCACCACCAGTGTCTCTAAGCGCTAAGGCCCCCACAACGGCGCCTGTGAGGACCCCACACCAGCACATCTGACGGCCTTTCACAGACACCTCTGAGGGACTAGCACAGGTGACTGTGAGGCGTTCTCTCGCTTCACTTCCTCATAAAATACCGTGCATTTTATGCATACTTCTCAAGCAAAAATTATATTTTTACCTGCCAATTTTGCACATTTTCTCAGGGCTCAGACAGTCACCCAGACAGGCGGACAGACGGACCCGTCTGCAAAGGGGGACCGGACACAATGTGCCCAATCTTCTCATCGAAAGGTTCTGGATACGCCCCTGCTTGGGTTGACAGCGGCATCCGGGTGACCCGTGGGCCCCTTTTAGAGCAGGTGGCTCCCTCCTGGGCGAAATCATGGGTACGTGCCTGCTTGAGTGTCCCAAGAGAAACGACCTTCAGGGCCTCATCTAAAGTACTGGCCCAAGCATAACTTAAGTCAAACTGCGTCAAACTATCTTAAAATGCCATTTGATGGCCCTCATAGGCCCTCAGAGGCCAAAGCCGAGCCCCCAGAGGCTAACGTGGGCCCTCAGAGGTCGCTTTGGCGGCCATAAAGAAGCTTAAACTCGAGCGTAGGATCCTTTGACGCTGGTGTAGAGCCCTAAGGAGCCAGCGCTCAGCCCTCTAAGGCCAGCGTGGGGCCCTCTAAGACCATTGCGGGGTCTTCTAAGGCCAGTGTGGGCCTTGTAAGGCCAGTGTGGGACCCTCTATGTCCAGCATGGGGCCGTCTATGTCCAGCGTGGGATCTTTTAAGCCCAGCGACATGGGGCCTTCTTAGATCAGACTGAGGACCATTGGCCACCGAGACTAGCTTGGGGCCCTCTGAAGACAATGTGGAGCCCTTTTAGGCCAGTGTAAGGCACTCTGTGACCAGTGTGAACCATCTGAGGCCAGCGTTTGAGACCATCTGTCATCTGACTTCAGACTTCAGAGGCTGGTACTGGGCCCTCAGAAGCCAGCGCGGGCCTTCATAGGCTGGCGTCGGGCCATTAGAGGACACCTCGAGGGCCTCGGCAGCCACTTTCCAGGACTTATGCATGTTTGGGCCCCCTGAGGTAGGAGTGGCCCTAGAAGGCCGGCGTGGGACCCTCAGGGGGCATCATGGGCTTCTAGAGATCGGCGTGGGTTCGAGAGCGGCATAAGGTCGTCAGACTGACTCAAAGACTCCCAAGAGCCAGCGGGGGGCCCTATGATGTCAGCCATAGCATGGGTCTCCTGAGGCCATTATGGGGCCCGGATGCCAGCGACTAGCGAGGTTCACTCTGTTGCCGTTGTGGGGCTTTCAGAGGCCAGAATGAGCCTTCAGAGGTCGGAGTGAGGCCAATGTGGGCAACATAGGGCCATCAGAGTCTAGATCAGAGCTCAACCCGAGTCGGGCCCTTCTAAAGTTAAGGGTATCAGCCCTCAACCAGCGCAAGACACGAGATTGGCATCTGCCATTTGAAAAATGTTACAATCGTAAAAAATGACAAAAACATTTTGCTTTTCATAATCTTTAGTGGCCCCGGCGACGACCAAAGCAAAAAAAAAAACTGTATGCCTACTGCTGAAATAAATCGTTCACTACATAAAGAGCTATCGATATCAATGGCTTTTTCACGTTTTTCTTTTCTTTTTTAGATTGCCGAGTGTGCCGAAAAAGGCTCCCCCCACATGGGTGAAAAAGGCAAAGAACCGCACCTGGGCGTGGGTTAAGTACGCCACTACTGGGGCCCCTAAGGTAAGGGTGGGGCCCCTTGAGCAGGTTTGGCCTCCCCCTTTTCAAGATCCTGGATACGCCACTGATGTTAGCGGTCGGATCGGGCCCTAAAGGAGACACAATCCGTGGTCATCCTCTGACCCAGTAAACATGCCGACGTCGGCCCGACGTCGGCCGACGTCGGGGTGACGTCGGCAACTCGGCATCAGCATGCCGACGTCGGCCCGACGTCGGTCCAACCTCGGCACGACGTCGGCTGGATGTCGGATATGCCCGCATGTTCCGACGTCCAGCCGAGGTCCAGCCGACGTCGGGCCGACGTCGGACCGAGATAAATTGCTGAGGTCCAGCCGACGTCGGGCCGACGTCGGAGCGACGTCGGACCGACATCGGCCGCTATTTTGACCGTTAAAATAATATAAAATACATGTTTCATGTTTCATAAAGAGCTTCTGTATTCAAAATATCCTCAGGAAACTCAAATCTTCCTCCACGCCGCAACCCCCTGATCCGGACTGGACGGGAAACTTTATCCCATTTGGGATTGCCCGTAAGCCGAGCTCGCCCGTAGCCGGGTGCGGTGAGTGCTTGGGGGCTGCTCGGTCTATCCTTTGTTCAGGCTCAGCCCCGGCAACTCACCAGGGCCGGGCCCAGTTCATATAGAAAGGCCAGTCGGCAAGTGTCACTTTGCCAAAGTGCCACTTATTAAAGGGACACTTGGGAAACGTTGGTGCAGGTGTGTAAGCGTGGCTATATGAATCCATTGTGGGGTCGCCCTTTCCAAAAAATGTCACGTAACAGCAATGGGACCAGGGACTCTATATGAACTGGACCCAGGGTGCTCGCCAAGAAGACCAATGTCTCCATCCTATGATCCTTCCGGCTCTGAAATGGTCTTGTCAGACCGAAAGGGCATATCCGAACAAAACAACAAATTCGTTAGCTGGCTGCGTGGTGTAGTGGTTAGCGCACTAACCTCGCGTTCGAATGACACGAGGTTCGAATCCCATCGTCGGCTGATGCTTTTGGCGTGTTGTCCCAGTAAACATGCCGACGTCGGCGACTGGGGGGCTCGAATCCCGCCGCCGGTTGATATTTTTGGCGCGTTGTCCCAATAAACATGCCGACGTCGGCCCCGTCGGTCCAACGACAAACGATCTCGTCAACCTCGGCAAACGATCTCGGCCCGACGTCGGCTCGACGTCGGCTGGACTTCGGCTGGACGTCGGAACATGCGGGCATATCCGACGTCCAGCCGATGTCGGGCCGAGGTTGAACCGACGCTGGGCCGACGTCGGGCCGAGCCTCGGCCCGACGTCGGGCCGACGTCGTCATGTTTACTGGGGAGGCTGTACCCAGCACGCGCCATGGGCAGCAGTGCAGATCGTAAGAATTAGGCATTCGTGTAGGTATAGTTAGGTAGCCGCAGGCGCAGTTAGTTGATAAGTACATTGCACAGGCATATCAATATAGGTAGGTATATATAGTAGTTAGCAGGTAGTGCTTTGCACAGGTGCGGTAACGGCGGTACTGGGCATGGCCGGCAACCAAGAACGGCATGGG